TAATTTCATCATAAACAAAGCTTTTAAAAGAAGCTTTTCCTTAAGAGGACACCTAATTCCCAATGCAACAACCCAAATTCGGCTTCACAGGCTCAGACATTTGACAAGTAAGATTTGCAAGACATGGCCTACAAACCTGAATGCACGGTTGGAGGAAGATACAACACCTCTAATGAGTCTATAGTTAGCTATTTGGCTTAATCAGGATCTTTAACTTGATAAAGATTTCTTTCTCAAACACAGCTGTGCCAACCAAACAACTTTGTCAAACTGGGAAAATTGCAGACATTTGAAAAAAAAAAAAATGTGAGCAGTTCCCGTTTGTTACAGTTTGTTAAGGATGTAAGATGTTGTCAGGATGACAGTATCAATGAGAAATTCTTGAGATCTGTAACAAACCATGTGAGTGAGAGCCATCATTAGGAAAGAAGCAGTGATCATCTGGCTTCAGGTGTCTTGAAGAATTCCGTTTAGATAACAGCTGCCACATAATTCTAGTGGAAGACTATTGAACAGGTGTGCTTTTTCCTCCTCCTTCGGTTCAATTCGGAATGGTCAGTTCTTAACAGTTCAGTGAAGGCAGTGAGTGTTTCCGTTGTCTTTTGAAACCGCCAGTCCTTGTGGACTGGCAACTCTAAAAATGACCAGCCCTCCCCCTAAATTTTGCCAGTCCCAACTTTCAACAAATATAAAACGTATGAAAATTATTCGTTTTTAATTCTTTCAACATCATGTTCAATGCAATGATGTCATCGCTGAAGTAACTTCGTTAGATCTATACGCATTCACACAAACTTTAGGCACAATTTTGTCTCTCATTAGTAATATTGTAAAACGAAGTTACTACAAATGGTTATTTAACATTGAAATGGTAATGGTAACAGACAAGCTGACTTTGTTCCAAAAACGTACTTATATGAATATCACCGATGTTTTGTTCAACAACAAAGATTTATGAGGTACTTTATTTGCAAGTTCAATGGCAGTCACATGAATTACCGGTCCAAGCCTAATTTTACTGGTAAAAAACTTGTAATTACCGGTAAACGGGAACGCTGTTTGAGGAGCGTATCTACTTCAAACACATAGAGAATCCCTGCCTTGTGTATTCCTATATCTAACATGTCAAGTAGGTGGGAAAAAAGTATCAAAGTCTGATCCTAAAGAACAGAATAGGTTGCTGGGGACATGTTCGAATGTATTCTATGTGTTGATAGTAGAGGTGAGTGATTTGATATCTACATTTTCAGTCTTTAGCAATACTCCAACTATACCACATTGGGGCAGAGTGGGCAAGAGGTCTAAAGCACCAGGCTGGCAAGTGTCAGGTGCTGAGATCGTGTTCTGCAAGCTTCAGGTGCCGAGATTGTGTCCTGCTACTGACCAGGGGGCTGTTCTTAGCTCTAAGGTGATCATAACTCCCAAACCTTAACATAGACTTACGACAGTCGTAGCACCAAGGTTGTTTTGTACAACGACACCAATGTTGTTATTCAGCCAGACACAAGCTGCTGAGATCGTATTCAGCTAGTGAGTGAGTGAGTGAGTGAGTGAGGTTTAACGCCGCTTTTCGCAATATTCCAGCAATATCACGGCGGGGGACACCAGAAATGGGCTTCACACATTGTACCCATGTCGGGAATCGAACCCGGGTCTTCGGCGTGATGAGCTAACGCTTTAACCACTAGGCTACCCGACCGCCCCTTATTCAGCTAGTGACCAGGGTGCAAAATACAGAACCTTCCACTATTGGCCGACCAAGTAGGGATTAACACTGCTATTATCAATATTAGAATTACTGATAAGAAAGATCAAAGTGATCCATGGCTTAGATCCACTTTGGAGTGAAACCTATGCACAGGGTCAGGTGCTGCAAACCAAGAATTTAGGATTCAAACCCATGATCATAGGAAACTGGTACGACTGACTCAACTAAATGCACAGCAAATTGTGTGTGAAAACAACTGGGCCCTCTGTGCCCCCCAGGGAGCTGAGAATTCAATTGGAATGCTGATCCACTGACTGAGACAATAACATCGCATGCTTTGACCATGCATATGTTGTATAGAGCATTGTGCTTCAAAGTAATCTACTATATGTATTATTTACATTGATACCCTGAAGAAAAGATAGTACTTGATGTTACCCTGCCTGGCAATGGACATTAAGGGGATTAGAGACAGACTGGTCGGTCTGGAGTCAGTATGCTGTGTTTGATTGTCCGAATTGGTCTGCTAGTTCAGACTATCACAAGCAGCTAAACACACATTCACACACATGCACACACATAAACACACCTTGCGATAAAAGTGAAAAAAACAAACCCTGAACGCGATGTTAAACCCCATTTCACTTACCTAACCTTTTATCTATTTATTTATTTATTTATTTATTTATTTATTTATTTATTTAATTCCCTCGTCCTGTCGCCGGCCATTTTGCAAGCACATCACCCCACTCCAACGTAACTTTTTATTTGCTGCAAATTCAAATCCACTTTACAGAAATACAGCATTGATAACCTACATGAAAGAAACTCAATCATAAATAGAAATGTTTAGACTTTTTTACACAACAGCTGCTTATAAAATGTCTGCCTACTAGCATGTAATCTTTCCATATAAAACACACAAAATACAAGTATGATCAAATTCATTACTGATCCCATATACGAAAAACAAAATATAAATTATAGTCACCACAACGAGTCACCAAAAGAGCTCTCACAACGATTAACATTCACTACATCATTTTATGACATAGTTGTTGATCATGTCATAATTGTTACAGGCAAATTCCCAATAAAACACTGAAAGTGATGAGTACGAGACAAATTCTCATTACGTTTAAGTGGTCCTAGTAATCGCAGGTTGTATTAGATATCGTATCAGCAGCCTTCAGGCATCACGGGGTGAAGGATAAATCAGCAGCGATGGGATTTGGTAAAAACCTGCAGACAAAATGATTACAATGATTTAATTAGACATCATATAGCGGCGCCATTAATGAAGACGATGAACTTCAAATCGGCAATCTGTTTTGTCTCATAGCAGGAACCCTTTATCAATCTCCACACAATATACACAACTTCAAACAGACAAGCTTAACTAAATACTGCAGGTTTGTGGAGTCTTTCAGACCATAATCCATCTTTATAACGCCCTTTCGGCAGATCTGAGAGCTACTCGGCGCTCGGTCAATGCGTACGATCATATCGTGACTCGTGCCGAGGAGGATTTTTCACATCGTAAGTCAAAGACAGGTCTTACGGGCTGCAAATACATTGTCCATGAAGCAATTTAATCAAGTTTCAACTATCAAAAGTGAAAAGTTTTAGTTTGATATCTGACAGCAATGATACTCGATTTACTAGGCTGTCATAACGGAAACCAGAGTTCCAGTCTTCGTCGATATCAAATGGTTGAAAATCGTTTGGATTCCAATCCATGGATGGTTCTTAAGCCAGCAATTCTAAGCCTGGTGCAAAATCATTTTGATCAAATAATGTTATCCTTTTAAAACAGCATTTCAAGTCACAGTCTATAATCATGTGCAATTTGTTCTGAATTGTAAAGATTCATTTATTTGCCATCAAAGTATGTTTGTCACATTTGTGAGTTCCACTATACCATTAATATTTCTGAATAAACTTCTCACCTCTTAATGACACTGGTCCTAAAACACATAAATTTCATTCTACTCTCCTTGTACTTTTATATTAACTCTTATTCTGTCAGATTTGTATCCAAGCAAAATTCCTAAGAAAATTTCTGGGAAAAACTTTAAACAAATATTCTCACCAATATCATATGTAAGACCAAAGCATCTAACTGCATGTCATTGTGTCTTTTTGGACCAAAATGAAGTATGACGGCTGGAAGCTGTGGAATATGTTTATTTAATGTCAACAAATGTTATAAAAAAAAGACAAGCTTTTTTGTCGAGCAACTGAGCGAGTATTGTCAGCTTAATGTGGGAGGAAAACACAGGTCATGAACTTGTCCTCCTTTGGGGGCATCCACAGACAAACGGACAAACCATCATAATTACCCAGTCTTAATCAGCATATCCTGGCACAGTCAAGACAAGCAACTCCAGAGAATTGCTATGCCAGAGACCAAAAGGCCTTCCCTTATAAATAAGAATGTTGTGATCAGTCTATCAGCTTGACTTAGAATACAGTAAACTACATCATAACAAACTCAAAGGGACCACTGATTTTAGTTCGATATAACTGAATTTCTTATAAGCATGTATTCAGCAAATGGCCGGGACCAAAAATATGTTCCTTATATCCATCAGTTTGTTATAAGCATGTTCGTTATAAACGTAGTTTAGTGTAATTTGGAGTCGTTTTGGTCTTCTTATTTCTGACAGATTTTTAGATTTTTCAAAGTCTATGTTGACTTGTGACTTGTCAGTTTAGACATTTTTAAATGACATAAATATTTTATAAGGTTCTGTGCAAGAAGAGGTCTCATAAAAAGTATAAGATAAGGAGAATTAAGCCATGGAAGACGGTGGTCCAAGGTTTTACCAATGAACAAATCACTAGCTTAATGAAATGAGTATTGGGCTTAGTATGTATGAATTGTTGGTCCTCTGGTCTTCACACAACATGGGACACCTTTGTATCAAAGCATTTCATTGTGGCTTTTCGGCTTTTCGGCTTTTCGGCTTTTCAGCTACTAATGTTGGTCTTTGACATCATGTAACACACACACTTCTTTTGTTGAGGCCATAAACATTAGGCTGGGCTTGACAAGTATAATGCTGGTCCACTAGACTAATGCCAGTAATTAATACTAAGGGCCAGTCATTTCAAAATAGTTCCACAGTATTTTACTGTATCTCACCTGGTCAAAATCTTGAACAAGCAGGAAGCCTCTTACAGATAGAAACATGCCCACCGTCTAACTTGTTGGTGGAAAGTGCACAATTTCAGTCTCATATTGGTAAACCAGTCAGAAAGAAAGGTCAGGATATTGAGAAATACATACCTTTGACGTTTCATAGTTGTCTTGATCATTTTCTTGAACTGATCTTTCTGAAGCATACCGGTAGGTCCTATTGGCAACCTGCAAAAAATGTTGAACCCTGTTAATGGTTAAAGTTTCAATTTTTTCTTCTTCTTATATATATAAACTTATACATAAATATCAGTGACAAAATCCCTTTCGTAAGTGATAAGATATCTCTGCAAAAGATTGGGGGACAGGGGAGGCAAAAAATAATAAAAATATCTTCTTCCGGAAGACACAGGAGAGACCAGTTTGTTCTCTTGTTCTCTGGAAAAGTTGGACGTCCTTGGTCACTTGCCTTGAAATAAAGCGACAAAACCCTTTCCATATCCAATAGAAATCTCTGCATAAAGCAGAGCCGATTGTACAATTCTGACTATATCACGAGCATGTGTTTATGAATCACAATCAAAAAGTGATGACACCAGGTGTTCGTGAAAATCATAGCGTATCCTGCCCCACTGGTGGGACCCATTACAAACACATGCAAAGGCAAGTCAATTGTTCCCCTGAAATGGCACGAACAAACACAAAGAGAGCTCTTTCCGAAACTAGTTTCCTACCCATGTTTTGGTGAACAGTTGTGAACAAGGTTGCAGACTGCAACTGTTATCAGCATGTCACTGTGTCAGGCCTAATTCTCAAAGGTTGTCATTCCGGGGTAGAATAGGTCTTCAGCAACCCATGCTCGCCGTAAAAGGCAACTATGCTTGTCGTAAAAGGCAACTAACGGGATCGGGTGGTCAGGCTCGCTGACTTGGTTGATGCATGTCATCGATCCCAATTGCGTGGATTGATGATCATGATATCAATCACTGGATTGTCTGGACCAGACTCGATTATTTACAGACCGCCGTCATATAGCTGGAATATTGCTGAGTGCGGCGTTAAACAACAAACCAAACCAAACTTTGTGGTTGTCATGAAGCCCAATACCCAGCAGACAATGATGTGAGGTGGGACAATCAACTCTGGTGCTATTTCTTGTGACAGGTGATTTCTACCCATATGTCGTGTGAGCTAAAGGCAAGGCAGAACACACAGAAAAGCAATTGACATCCAATTATTTTGTTCAGTCCAGTAAGGACCTAAGTAGAGGGCGTGGAGTCATCACATAGATGACATCCTTGCCTGTCAGCTTGATGGGGATAACCACTTTGGTCATGTGGATGAGGTGCCTGACTTTAGATCAGAGTGAGTATGGTTTTATGCAGCTTTTAGCAATATTCCAGCAATATCACGGCGGGGGACACCAGAAATGGGCTTCACTCATTGTACCCATGTCCGGAATGGAACCCGGGTCTTCAGCGTGAGGAGCGAACGCTTTAACCACTAGGCTACCTGACCGCCCCCTTTAGATCAGAAGATCCCATCATGGGACTCAGAAACTGTTCAGCAGCTACATTAGGCATGTTCATTTAAGAGCAAGTTCACACGAAAATGAACCTATTTTTCTTCTTCTTCTTTTTTTCTATTTTTTTTACTTTTTCAAAATGAAAAGTATGTCCCTGGAAGATTCATAGCCAAAACAATGCAAATATCACAAGTACCTAATTTTTTTTTGGCATTAAATCAATTCACATTTTTCACATTTACGAAGAGTTCTATTTCCATAAAAAACATACTATGGCTTATATCCCTTGCAATATGACGTCATTGGTGCCAATTGCCAAAGGAATGACGTCATTAGACTTTATTAGTCCCGTTTCACCTGGTGTGGGTACAGGTGTGTGATTCTAGCTTCTCAAACGGACATGTTAGTATTAAATTGGAGCACACTAGGTCTCAGCCCCCTTCTTTGTAGCCTGGGATGAGTCTCCTCTTGACGACAGGAATGTAGCAGGGAGTGGAGTTATCCCACAGATGACATCGCCACCTTGTCAGTTTGATAGCAGGGCTATCCTCTTTGGTCATATGGAAATGTCATCACACCTTGGATCAGAAACATGGTTCCCGTCCCGTCACTGGAATTTTATGGCTGCTACACCAAATGTCCCCCCCCCCAAAAAAAAACAAAAATTCTTAAAATTCTAAGAAAAACAAAATTTATTCCTACATAATCAGTCTCGATTATCTGCCCAAACAGATTCCATGGTTTCACTAACACTGCACATATGACAATATCCCTTGGAGTGAGCAGAGACCATATAACTATATGGTCTCTGGAGTGAGTGAGTGAGTTGGGTTTAACGTCGCTTTTAACAGTATTCTAGTTATATCATGGCGTGTCAGCTTAATGTGGGAGGAAAGCCTGAAGTGATGCAGCTATCAGACGTTACCACTTCAGTGAAACCCACGAGCATGGTACGGTGCTGACAAACCTAGAAACACAATCGGGCGAACCGGGATTCGAACCCACAATCATAGGTTTCTGGTGTGCCAATGGGATGCAACTCTTCACAGCGAATCGCGGCACCTAAGACGACTGGGCTACCCGTACCCCCCTGAAAAGTTACCAATGGACAATGACATGAGCTTGCTTGACTTTTAGTCAGGTTAGCTAAAAATGGGGTTGGCCCGAGAGAAAGGCAGTATTGATTCCCCACAAGGATACTATCAATTTGCTGTTCCAAACCAAAAGCGCTAAAAGTGCAGCCCAATATATCTCAGTGTTTCATGACTGATGACACAACAGATGAAATTGGCTGGGGTATTTAACATGGAAGAAGGTCGGATCAGCCCCTGTCGGTGGCATAACAATTACCAACGTACTACATCATACAATCAAAACACTCCCGATGCAGTCTTAATAGTCTCGGATGAGGTGAGAGAGGACACAAGGATGAGGAATTCAGGGACCACACGGTCTTGACATGTGTCACATCCTGTTCCGAGACTCACTGCTACCTGGGGTTGTAGCTCCTGCAGTGTACCGTGACTGTGGACTGTCACAGACAGGAGGTCTACCCACAGACACCGATCAATGTTCTTGGTGGATAGTAACTGCATGATTAACTGTATTACTGCATAGATATTGATTGAGACCTGTGAAGATCCGGGGTAGAATAGGTCTTCAGCAACCCATTTTTGCCGTAAAAGGCGACTATGCTTGTCGTAAGAGGCGACTAACGGGATCAGGAGGGAAGGCTCACTGACTTGATTGATACATGTCATCTTATCCCAATTGTGTGGATCGATGCTCATCACATCAATCACAGCTATATGATGGCGGTCTGTAAATAATCGAGTCTGGATCAGACAATATAGTGATTGACATCATGGGCATTGATCTACACAATTGGGATACGGTGACATGCATCAACCAAGTCAGCAAGTCTGAGCACCCGATCCTGTTAGTGGCCACTTATGGCAAGCATGGGTTGCTGAAGATCAATTCTAACCTGGATCTTCATGGATATGTTGGCCTTGTAGAACTCAGCTTGGAGAGCGGGATGACAGTGGTTCGATCCCCGGCCGCTTCATTCCAAAAGAAGTTAACCTTGGATACTTGTTGGTACCCTGCTGGTGCTCAGCGTTAAAGTGACAGTACATTGATGATTTCACTTTAGAGAAGTCTACACATTGAGTGAGTGAGTGAGTGAGTTGGGTTTAACGCCGCTTTTAACACTATTCCAGTTATATCGCGGCGTGATGCAGGTGTCAGCTTAATGTGGGAGGAAAGCCCAAAGTGATGCAGGTCTCAGATGTTTACCACTTCTGTGAAACCCACGAGCATGGGTATGGTGCTGACAAACCTAGAAACATAATTGGGGCGAACCGGGATTCAAACCCACAATCATAGGTTTCTGGCATGCCCAAGGGACGCAACTCTGCACAGCGAATAGTGGCGCCTTAGATGACTGGGCCACCTGTGCCCCCCTACACATTGAGATGAACATGTGTCATGAAATATTTAACATTCATTGAAAAAATATCAAAAACGTGAAAACAAATTTCTGTTTGCATATGTATACTCCATGTGCTGTAATCGAAGACATGGTTTGTTTGTAGTTTAACGCCGCACTCAGCAATATTCCAGCTATATGACGCAGTCTGTAAATAATCAAGTCTGGATCAGACAATCCAGTGATTGATATCATGAGCATCGATCCATGCAATTGGGATTGATGACATGCTTCGACCAAGTCGGTGAGCCTGACCACCCGATCCTGTTAGTCGCCTCTTATCGAAGACATGGAGAGCTAGCCCTATACGGTCATTTAGACCTGTAAAACTATATTGTCATGCACCTCACTGTCGCAGTTGTAGTAGTATATCTTAATAATTAGGCATTAGGCCTCATTTCAGAATAGGTGCGTGCGTTTGCGGGTCACTTGATAAGCCTACACTCGTGATGTGGTCACTGGACAGGAATTGAATAAGGCAAGCATCGGCTATTGTTTACAAAGCTTCAAAATAGTTGACTTCCTGTCCCTTTAAGGCTGCAAAAGAAGGACTGGCTGGTTTGGAGTCAGTATAATGCATCTGGGTGGAGTATCTATGTTAAACTGCAGGATGGTGCAGGCTAGCATCCTAAAACTAACGCACGTCCACGGGAACAACCAGCCACATTCACATGTACGCAGATGTGTGTAACCTTGACATTGACCTTGAACCTCATTTCACCTTACAACAAAGGTCTTCATTCCCAAACAACATCATAATACACCCTTCCTGTGTATCATGTAAATATGATAACTACTAGATGTGGGAGTTTCATGGCAATATCGCAGGACAGGCAACATTTCAGGCCAAACAGAACGAAAATATTAATTGACTATTATCTACAGAATGATTGTATTTCTGTCTCGCATGCAATATTAACGGCAGTCAAATCTTCCAAGGGAGCCATAACAGGCTAATCTATTTAATCTCAGGGGTATTTCATCTAGACACGATAGCACTTAAATGTGTAATATCAGCTTGTCACAGCATGCTCAATTTGATTTCTTCAGACACTATAATCACTGTTTAGACACCACAAATTGTAGGAAAGTATGAAGCCTGATATGTCCTTAGGGATGGGAAGTTATCATTGTTGGTTGTTGGGGGAAAATTGCTTCTGGAAAAATGATTTGTCGAGATCCTTCGTCTAACTGGTCATCATCTTCTTACCT